TAAAATTTGTGAGTATGATCTTATTTCATTTATAAATTTTTTCAAAAAGTCTAAAATTTTGCCATCTTTTCTATTTACATTGATAATGTTTTTATATTGAAGTCATGTACTCCCCACATAATTTTAAGCCGTTCTGGAAGAAACAAGGTACAAGAAAAAACAATAACAAAATTAGAAATATGTATATAATGTAAAGTTACATTTGATTAATTTGATAGTTTTCATATATCCAAAGTCTGATTGGTTCTAGCCGACTGTTTTGACCAGACTACAAACATTTAACTTTTTAAATCTGTCCGACTAATACTACTAGTTGGACTACCAACTGCTGTTGTCATGGCAACATGACTTAGAGTCGGCCCAGCCGATTATATAGTGTGAAATCACCAAGGCTAAATTATTACTAAGAATTGGCTAGTAGTAGTGGTTAGGCTACCGTTTCTTGTTAAATTTAAATAATTATAAATAAATTAATTTCTTCAGAGTCAATCTTCCAGAATATTCTAAATTAATAATTATAAATAAATTTAAGAAGAGATGGCAGCCTAACTACTTACTTCCTGACAGGTGTTACTGTGTTTTTTTTTTTTACTTTCTTTTTATACAATATTTGGCATGAGGTTCAAGCTGTATTGTGTTAATACATATATTTTTTAAATATATACAAGCACAAAACACTATTCAGTAATCAAAAAAATTTATTACTTTTAACAATAATTTGCATGTAACAGGAAATTTTAAAAATTAAGAATACAAGAAAAAAAATATATACTTTAAGTTTTAATTTCTAAAATATAGTTCACTATGACCTTCAAACTGGTAAATTGCAGATCTTCCACAATAGGTTAAAGTCTCATAATTTTGTTTATATTTCAACTAATTAAATAAATACCAAAATAGTAAAATTAATTTAACTGTCGGTTAAACTTATTTCACTGTTTTGATGTGTTTATTAATTGCAACATAAGCAATCATTTTTCAGTCATATCTTTCAATTAACATGTTAAGTCATCATCTATTGCCAATAGATAGTTTAAGAAAATCCAAATGACATTGCACTTTCTGATGTTTACTTTATCCTCCTCTAGATAATTTTTCTGTAACTAGATAAAAAGTGAACTAAATATGATTTTTCTGTCATTCCTTATTTTGAATTTTTACATACTCATTTTCACAAAAATTAGCATACCAAGGAGGAGTTGTCGTATTGCTGCAAAACTTGGCAAGCAGGTAAGTCTCAAGCAAATATAGAAATGATTAAAGTTATAGTGTTATGGTTCATTACATAATGCCAGCAGAAAGCATTAAAGTGCATCCCCCTTCGTCTATAGAAAAGCAGCAAGCAAAGACATCCTATCTGTATTTTACTGTTGCAGAGGGATGCTTTATTACTAGAAATGACTTTATATCACAATCGAAAACCATATGAACAACTAACCGAGTTTGAGAGGGGAAGGATCATTGGGTTGACAGAAGCTGAATGATCATCTCACTGAATATCCCACCACCTAGGCCACCATTCTGACAACACCGTGAGATAATGTTGGGACCAGTGAACAAGAAAGAGCTCTCACACAGTGTTCAGGCTCAGGATGCCCTCAGCAGACCCCTAGCTGAGAGGACTGCCTGGTCCTCCAACAAGCACGACCATATCATTGTCCGACACAGCTGACCATATCATTGTCCACCATCCAGACATAGGTGGCACCATCATTACAGACCCATGTTTGTCCATACCATTTTCAGATGGGCATGTCTGTGATCACCTGGGACACAAATAAAACCTCATCTTTTATCTCTTTGTGAGTGGGGCAGGAGACAAACTTCAAATAGAACTCCATGTCCACTCGTATCATATCATGTATTTATGCTACAGGTGACTCAACAGGGTATTAGAACCTCCTTTCATTTGTAGATTTTCCTGCAATAAATGATCCTTTTGATTTCATTTTGTAATTACTTACTTATATCACCATTACACTCACACATGTATAATTTTGTTCAATTCTGACAACTCCTACTTGGTAGGCTAATTTTTATAGCAATGAGTGAATATAAATGAAATTAAATCAAAAATTCATCATCAGTCTTTCTTGAAATCTGACTTATTTCAGAATTTCAAAATATATATTTTAAAGTCTAGTTCATATCCTATTTTTCCATGTAGTTTCCAAAATGGGTCAAACATTTTTTGATACTGCTTTCATAAAATGTATTCTGTTCTTACGTAGCCATAGTCAAGCTGCTATCTTCATATCATCACTACTTTCAAAACAGTGACCTGGCAACTCCTTGAAGAGACCAAAAAAGTGATAATTTTGAGAAACCATATCCAGACTATATTGCAGATAATGAACAAAGGCTTGATCTGCACCATCCTGGATGCTCATTGTTTTGTATTTGAATTTCTCACATCACCAACAACTTGCACTTTGCCAAATACACAATTGTCCTCATATTTCTCAATAAATATCACTTACATTCTTGTCAGATTCCCATCAAAATCAAATCATATTTCTGTGTTCTTTCAGGTGGAAACTGACAAAACACCTGCACTTTTCAAATGCTTGTATTTGCATTAAATCTCACCAGACAGTATTGGAAACTACTGAAATGACACAGAAGAAACTGCCCTTTCATATGTATATTTTGAAATTTCAAAACAATACAATTGGCAAAGAATTTTTTATTTCCCCCTTGTATATACAAGGCATTTCATGTAAGTCATTACAAGTCAACAACTAAAAATATGCTTCTAACAAAACAACTGATGAAATAAAACTTTAATGTTTCCAGCAGGTCATAAAAATAAAACCTCATCTTTTCTCTTCCTGAGTGGGGCAGGAGGGAAACTTCAAACAGAAGCCAGTGTTTTGCACATTTGTATTCTTCATTAAAAAATAATTTTTCGTTCAAAAAATTTTTTTAAATGATAATTTGAAAAGTTATGAGCATAGGTCTATGTATTATGTTTTGAAAGATGATAATTTAATATAAAAGTTCAACTTTTTTATGCACTAAGTAATTTCTATTCTTTTATTAATATTTTTTCAGTTATTTAATAAATGTTTGAAAGGATGTCCATTTTCATCTCATCATCATGTACAAAAGTTTTTCCAAACAAACCGCAACATTTCTGATGTTATTTTAGCACAGTGACTGTTTATTCTTTGGTTCATATCTCAAATTGTAATTGATTGTTAAAATTAAACTTGATCCTTTATGAAATTCCATAGGAAATAATTCTAATTCAATTAAATGATACAGACTTCAAAAGTAAGTAATGCAAAGTTTCCAAAAGTCCTTAAAATATTTACAAAGATCCTGAATAATTTCAGAGATTGTTTATAAAAATTGGCCATTGAAAATCTTAATGACCTATTAAATTTATACTTTTATGATAAAATATATAGTTTTTAAATATTTATATTAATAGAAATAAATTTATATGAATTAGTTTGAACTTAATGCAATCAGACTATATTTGGAATTTAGTCTGAGATGCAATAAGCTGACAGTCTGCACATGAATAAAAAAGTGCATTGCCTGCTAATAAACAGCTAGATTAGCAAGCTAATGTGACATAGCCTGTTTCATTTGCAATGGACTACGGCTGCTTATCCAGCTGTAGTAAATCCATTTTACAAGATAGTGCACCAAAAGGATTTGCAGAACTTAATAGATTGGTTGGCACCTGCCAAGTTTGGCTGGAAACTTGAGGAGGAAAAATATTGAGTTACATGAAATCTTCTTTGACCTAAAGTATAGAAAAATACATTATATTATATAAGAAATGATTTTTGGGACTGACAACGTAAAGGGAATTTGAGATTAGATGTTTTACTGCATATAGATATTATAGAAATGATGAAAATGTTTTGAGGCTATATTAGATTTTTTAAAGCTTATTTCTAGTTCATAATTTGAAAATAGAAAACCTCATTTTTATCACATATATAACATTATTGCAATTAGGTCTTTAGTTTCATCCAGCTATCCTATAAAATTAAATAGAAAAATAATATAATTTTATTTACATATAGCTTAAGATAATTTTATATTTTTAAAAGAAAAAAACTGTAATCATACAGATTTATCTGCACTTCATATTCTCAATTTAACATATACAGACTAATTGTAATAATAAAGATCTACTTCCAAACTTTTATTGAAGAAATTTGTTTAATTTGTTTACCTATTAAACCAATAAATAAAAATTCACTGAATGCAATAATAAAAATCACATAATAGTCTGTTAATAAAAAAAAATAGTTTGAAAAATATTGTAATTAAACTTTGAATTTAAATTAGAGAAGTCAATTTTGTATAAATCAAATCAGAATAATTTGCAATCTTTAAGAATTTATTCAGTTTTGATTACATCACTTCAACTTTATTTTAAATTCTTATAAAAAGTCACTTATTGTATTTCATACATGTAGCTATTTCCATTTAGTTCTCAACCAAAACAAACAAATTTCTAAAAATATAATCTACTCAATTTTGAGTATTTACTTTTTATATACCTGCTCTCTAAACTCTTTGCTTTATCAAAAGTGAAGCTAAATATAAAATTTTTTGAGTCACATTCTATTCACATTTTTTGGGTCACATTCTTTTAGTATTTCATTGTAAAAGACACCAAACAATTCTCTCAATATTATAAAATGTTAACCTACAAAAAAAACCTTTTAAAAATTGTAATGTTTTATATACAATGTATATTCTATTAAAAAGAATTTTTCCTTGCCATTCCAAATTATTTATTCATAAGAAATTTTAGTGCATTTATAAATAAATTTAAGACTTAATTACAGTGATTTTACAAAATTCATATTCATTCAAGCAAAACTAGCTGTACTTATATTTGTTTTTAACCTTTCATTTTAAGTTAAAAACTTTTCATTAATAACAGTTTCAAACCAAATAAATTGTACTAATTTTAAGAGATAAAATTAACCTTCTATGCCATTTTGAAGTATAGACGAAGAAGGATTTACCTTTATGAGTTGATCTAAAAGATATTTTAAACCATAAACTCTTGCAAAATAACCACGATTAATTTCTGGCGCTTTCCTATCAGTTGGTTTGACAAAATGTTGTAAATAATTGTCTACCCAATAACCAACGTCAACTGCATATCTCTTGCACGCTGCAGCGTCATCGTTGGTTGACATAACAGCATCGTCTTGAATTATATTCTCCATTATTAGCTGAATTACTTAAATTATCAAGTCTGGATAATTTCCAGACGAATCTTTTGAAATAACATCCACTTTTCTTCCGTTTTGTTTTCGGCTGCTTTCAATATTTTTTATTTTTTATTACGACGATGGCAGCGCCAGACATAATGAAATTTTTCAATTCATATTTGATAAATAATTATTGATTTAATTCAAGTTAATATATTAAAAAAGTCAATATCGAAAAAATTATTACAATTTAATAAATAGATAATATAACCATATTTTTTATAATGATATATTATCTATGTTTATAAAATTGAATTAATATACATTGTCGGCAGTAAATTTGAATACCGCACATTAAAAGTAATCTACATGTGAAATTAGATGTTTTTTTTACAAAATTTAAGTGAAAATTTCAGTATATTTTGATGAAAATATTTGCTTTTACTTAAAACATAATTTGAATTAATTTTTTTATTAATAAATAAATATTTTCGACTTGTAACATTACAGAAAGTTTTTCGGTTATTTTAGAATAAGTTTATTACAAGAAAAATCAATGTAACAAACGCTTATTCAAATTTCGCATTTGCTCAACAAATTTAGAAAAAAAATAGAAAATTTGCAAATAGGGATGTTGCAAGATTGATGTCAAAATAGTCAGCGTTATCGGACAATTTACAGAAGTAATGGAGGTGTCCTCCATTACTTCTGTAAATTGTCCGATAACGCTGACTATTTTGACATCAATCTTGCAACATCCCTATTTGCGAATTTTCTAAACACTATCTATTGTTGACACTTTTCGGTTAAACAGCTTCTGTTCCAACCAATCAAATCCAAAGAAGTCAAGGAGACTAGCAAACACTTCGCTGGTTTTCCCTTCTTGTTTGGTGAACAGCAGCTAATTTCTATTTTCTGATAGAGGTTTGATATTGTTTGGTTTATTGACCAAGCAATTCTGCACCGCGACAACTCAAGCTTACACACATGCCAATAAGCATGTGTGTAAGCTTGCGTTGTCGCGGTGCAGCAATGTTTGTGCATCTCATTGGGATACATACGTAGCAGATGTTCTTCAAACAACGGTTTCAGAACGTGGTTGACATAATACTGTTCAGTTATTTTCACTTTTGAGATCACTCTAATAAGCGGAAATCACAGGCTATTTGTTGGGAAATGCGCTTCTTCCCAACAAATAGCCTGTGAACGTAAATTTTTGAAAATAATTTTTTCTGTATTGTCGTACCCAGTCTTCTGGATAGCAAATTTTTCGAGTGCCATTACAATTGATAATTTCATCTAATGCTTATTCAGTCACATCAAATTCACTTCTTTCACTTACAAAATGTCTCGTTTTTTCTGCTGGTCTTAAGAGCGATTCTTTTTTGCGGAATCTGATAGCTTATGAACATCGATCTTTACCAGCATATTCAGCATGTTTAGATCTTTGTGAATGGTGCGATTAATAGAAGACTGCGATATTTAACACTTCTTTGCTATGCTGTTTACGACGGATGATTTCGTGTGATGATGGAACTCTTTACTCTTTACTTTCCTAATTACTTCCTTTATTCCAATTGTAGTTAGTCGTTATTCCACTGAAACAAATTGACATCGGAAGTTTGGAAGGAGTTCGTGTCACCAACTCCTGTTCAGAGCAACATGATGGAATGAAGAAAGAATATTCGAATGTTTTTTGTTGACTTTGAAATTTGAATCATTGTAGAATGTCATATACGCTGTAATAACTGGAAGTACGTGCTATTTTTATGTATGTGCTTCAACATTGTGGTTCACAAACACGACAAAATGTAGTTTGTCATTGTAAATATTTTCACAAGTTGAAATCAAAGTTTTTACTGAAGAATCTGGAACTTTTAGAACTAAAATTACAAACCGTTAGTCTAAGAAGAACTGCTTTTAAGTTGGTTAAAGTCATATTTGTTAAACAGAACTTACTACGTCAGAATTGGACAGGTTATTTCCAGTTCATTTAAGCCAAACTAGGGCATTCTTCGGAATTCAATTCTAGGTCCTCTGCTTTTCAATATATACATCAATGATCTGTTCAATTATATATCAAAAGATAATATATTTATGTATGCTGACGATATTGTAATAACTTCTTTTCATACGAATGCTACAATTTTTCAAGAGAATTTAAATAACATTTTAAACACATTAAACAGTTATATGGAAAATAATAGTTGGAAATTAATACTTTTACAAGAATAAATTTACTGCAATACCAAATATGACCTACATTTCAAAATTTAAAAAATGTCAACTATACTTAAACAATATAAAGCATGTGTTTATCCTGTTTTTCATCTTACATGTTACTTAAAGACGCAGCCCACCAGCGGCCAAACGGTCTTCGTACCCTGCACACTGGAAAGTTGGTCGTGGGTTCGCGCATCGCTCGGATGGGCTGACCACGTGGAATCTTCCGGGTTTTTTTCACGTCTGTAACGCTTAAATAGGGACCAGTTTCCCTTAATGTAATATGTGCATTTTGGGTTCATCAATTTGGTTTTTGTTTTTCTGTTTTAAAAGATGCTTAAAAAGTGATTTTAACGTTTTCTAATGCTATTTTCGATGATAAATTTAATATCTGTTTGTAATATTTTAATTTGTTTCTGTAGTCTACTTTCTGTACTGTGGGATATAGGCATTGTTTATCTACATATAAATATTTATATAGAAACCCGATGCTTTGCCTATAAACCCCTATTATTTATCTACTACTATTATTAATGTACTGTACATTATGTATTAGCTTAATAAAGAAATCTATTAATCAACTTTCAAATTAATTAAATAATTGGAGTTTGATAAATCCTTTATAACAGCAAATTAATAATTATTAAAAATATTACATAGAAAAATTAATTAATAGTCTGTCTTGGCAAGATTATTTGTTATCTACTGTAAGGTCTCTTTTTATGCGGATTATTTTAATGCGATTTTGAAGTTGTGCGGTTTGTATTTCATCCAAAAATTTCTTGGACAAACATACATATAGGCTTGTTTAGGAAGCCTGCGTATAGACAGTCTCCAAAAATCGTGGAACGCTCAAAGCTCACTCCATTTGTTCCACTGACATATAACGTTTATGGATGTAAAGGACAGCTAGATCTACCTTAATCGCTTTAGTTCCTAGCAATTTTTGATATAAATGTAATTAAACATAAAAAATACTTAAAACTGAAAAAAACGAAAGAAATGCGTTAATTTTGAAGAAAAAGCTTCAAAGTTTAACTTCCTTTGTCTCGCCCTTCTGTGAAATTTAACACCGATGAGTCATTGTTTACACATCTGGATGACCTTGAACACAGCTGGAGTTGGATTTCCCGGGGCATTCTCATAGACGTCGCGGGAGGACAAGGGTTTAAAGTAGGGTGAACACTAGCTGGCCGTATATTTTTAAATATTTTTAAAAAATTTGGAGACTTAAAAAACATTCCAAAAATTCAAAAAAAAATTTCAAAAATGGCCTTAAGGACCGTGTTTTATGTAACGCTATGTAACCTGCCCGAGTTAACTCGGGCGAGGAACTAAAGGGGTTTTAATTAACTCTTCACATCCAGATGTCAGTGATTTGTTTTTAGAGTGAGCTTTTGCAATTCGGGGATTCCCCTTGTACATGATACTATCGACAAGTCGCTATTACATCATTCTGAGTTTCGCATTGAAAGGTATAAACTGTAATTGTTTTGAAATTAAATTTTATATGAATTTCTTTCAGACATTCGAAGTAATTTATTAAGCAGCCTATTTCTTTTAATTTCTGCAAACTTTTTAATGCGGTTTTAAGTTAATTTTAACTCGTTGTTTTGGTTTTATGCGATTTTAGAAAATTATGGAACGTATCCCTACTTTTTTAAGGCAAGTAAAGTCTTTTTTTATGCGAATTTTTTATATGCGCTTTTCTGTAGAACGTATCCACCGCATAAAACGAGACCTTACAGTACTTTGCAGATAAAATAAGTGTTCTCGACATAGTAAATTACAGTGTATGCATGTATTTTGAGTCTTGCCGTCTTTATTTCCGATCAGTCTACAGGCCTGTAAATTGGCCGAAAATATTTATTGGGATGAAAGTTTAGTATTGAATTTCGTAAAATCTTTTCTTAGCACGCTTAAACTTTACAAAAGGAACACACCCTCAAATTTTTAAGTTTCTAGTACCAGTAGTTTTGGCTCTGCGTTAATTATCCTATCAGGACTTGTTCTTTTATATACGAGTATATAGATGACTGAACTACATAATAAGTAGGTAGTTTTCATTTAATTTGTTACCTTTTTTTTATCTCTTAAAAAAATAACTTAGTTACATTACTTTTCCTTTGATCTTTTACATAAATAAGCAAAAAATTGCGCTTTCTCGAAATTGAAATGTATGTTCAGCATTAATAAAAGTTACCAAAATGATTAATTTACTGTGTTTTTATTATTTCTTACTCCTGTTTTTAGGTATTTGGTATTCGGCCGAATACCGAATAGTAACCGAATATTCGTTGAATCACTAATTCGCAGCAATTATGATCATTCTCAGCCGTAGGTGTTATATAACAATTACCATGATTGTTGAAATACTGAATATAAATGGGGTTTGCTTGCAAAATCCACGCGGGCGATGTCACAGGTGACAGCTAGTATAGAAATAAAACAATAAACAAGGATTAACAATAAACAAGCAATTCGTTTTTACGTTTTTTATTGTCGACAGCGAAAGCTTATGAAAAGGGCTCAGCGATTTCAAAGTGACAATTGCAATATTTTGTGAAGGATTTTTTAATTTTTCAGGTAAGTACAAAAGCTAGATTTCTGGGTGTAGAAATCAATTTTCGCGCGATAAATCTTTTTTTACAGTTATCTAAAGAAGTTTTCTGCATAGAAACTCCTTTTGGAATTTTGGCTTAATTGGCAATTGACGAGTTTAACTCATTCACGCTTCGTAAGTTTTAATTATAGAGTATTTACTTTCTCGAATTTTGTAGTTTCTTACGTAACAGAATATTTAAATGCAGAATGAATGCGATTCAAAGAGGAACACTACTAGATACAAAAATTTTACTGAGAAATTGGGTTATATTTGGATTAATTTATCTGTTTGAAAATTTATTTGATGCCTTAATGACTTGGATTCCTTATTATT